CCAAGCCCTACAAGGAGTGGCTTCGCGAGCTGGGGATGTTTAGCATGAAGAAGAGAAGGCTGAGAGACAGGCGCATGGGAGCCATGTTTACATATTGGAAAAGCAGAGTGGACAAGCCTGTTTTCGGCTGCTTTGGAGACTCGAACATGGAGCAATGGATTCAAATGACAAGGAAAAAGACTCCTCCTAAACCTTAAGGTGAACTTCTAATGGCAAGAGCTATTTGACAGTGGAATATGCTGCCTTGCAGTCTGGAGGTTTGCAAGCAGAGGCTGGATGGCCATCTTTCAGGAGGGTTTGGATTGCATTTTCCCACATGGTAGGGGGTTGGGCTGGTGGACTCTTCCAACTCTAGAATTCTAGGATCATCATCATCATAATCTGACTGTAAATAGAAGGTCAGCTGCTGTCCTCTCCTTTTTGCCTTGTATCTAACTATCCAATGCATGTCCTTCACTCAAAAAATTGATTTTGTCATTTGGGAGTTGTAGTTGCTGGGATTTATAGTTCACCTCCAATCAAAGAGCAGTCTGAACCCCACCAATGATGGTATTGAACCAAACTTGGCACACAGTTCTCCCATGACCAACAGAAAATACTGGAAGGGTTTGGTGGGCAGTGTCCTTTGGTTTTGGAGTTGTAGTTCACCTACATCCAGAGAGCACTGTGGACTCAAACAATGATGGATCTGGACTAAACTCTACACGAAGACTCAATATGCCCAAATATGAACACTGGTGGAATTTGGGAAAAATAGAATCTTGACATTTGGGAGTTGTAGTTGCTGGGATTTATAGTTCACCTACAATCACAGAGCATTCTGAACCCCACCAACGATAGAATTGGGCCAAACCTCCCACACAGAATCCCCATGTGGGCCACAGCAACGTGTGGCAGGGGACGGCTAGTACATAATAAAAGTGTGTATGTTGCCTATGAGGGGCCACCAAAGGCCCTCTCTCCAATGACATTGCAGGTTATAGCGAGCACCGTGAACATGCACAACCCCTGCCAGTGTTGTTCACCAACACCAAACTGCCCACCACCCAAGTGAAGGCACAATTTCATCCTAGATTTTCTGTTTTTCCTCCACCGGCACACATCCCAGTGTTCCTGACTTTCTCCATTGGTGTGGAATTTGCATGACCCCCACCCACTGCATCTCCCTTAACCCTTTCCTATTCTTTTCTATGGCACACAGCAAACAGAGGAATTGATCAGCAACGGAACATACTAAAGAGATTTGGGGGGAAATTCACCATGATTTAGATGAGTTGAAGGTACTGGGATGTTTAGTTTACCTGCAATCTAAGAACTGCACTAACTAACTTGGCACACAGAACCTCAATGACCAACAAAACATACTGGAGGTCTTTGGAGAGACTTATAGGAGTTGTAGCTCACCTACCTCCAGAACACACCGCAATGAGGAAGTACTCCATCGGTGTCACAAGTGGATGGTGAAGCAACAGCTCCCCCGATGGCCGGAATTCAAAAAGCATACCCTCATGAAGCTGGAAAGTTAAATAGCCTCTGTGTCTCTGTCTATATATGTTGTGTATCTATGGCATTGAATGTTTGCCATGTATATGTGCATTGTGATCCATCCTGAGTCCCTTGTGAGGTGAGAAGGGCAGAATATAAATGCTATAAAAAATAAATAATCCCTTTGGACAGAAGGCCGTTCTGATAGCGGACCAGAGAGGGTCGACCTACCAATGGTGCAGACGATGCCCGTGGTCCGTGCGGCGATGGGCTCCGAGTCGATGTCCAGCAGGCATAGATGCTCCAAAAAGGTGTCAGCCATAGAAGCCGGCAACTGCTGCCGTTGGAAGAAAGCAGTGCCCAGCTCTTGGGTCAAGGTGGCCATATCGTCCGGCAGGATGAAGGTGCTTCCGGCTGCGAGGAAATGGGAGAGCAAGGATTACAAGAACTAGCCTTACCTTTGCGTGACACGTCGATGTGTCGCGAAAGCCCTGGATGAATGACTAACAGTCCCAATTATTGTCGTTACTAAAATATTGACCATTTCCGCTACCTTGGCAGGCACCTCTCCACCAAAGTCAACATTGACACCGAAATACAACACCGCCTGAGCTCTGCGAGTGCAGCATTTTTCCAAATGAAGCAGAGAGTGTTTGAGGACCGGGACATCCATAAGGATACCAAGGTGCCTGTTTATAAAGCTATTGTCCTCCCAACCCTGCTATATGCCTGCGAAACGTGGACTGTCTACAGACGTCACATGCAACTCCTGGAACGATTCCATCAGCGCTGCCTCCGGAAAATGCTGCAAATCTCTTGGGAAGACAGGTGTCCTGGAAGAAGCAAAGACCACAAGCATTGAAGCGATGGTCCTCCGTCATCAACTCCGCTGGACCGGCCACGTTGTCTGGATGCCCGACCACTGTCTCCTAAAGCAGTTGCTCTACTCCGAACTCAAGAATGGAAAACGGAGTGTTGGTGGGCAGGAAAAGAGATTGAAAGATGGGCTCAAAGCCAGCCTTAAAAACTCTGGCATAGACACTGAGAACTGGGAAGCCCTGGCCCTTGAGCACTCCAGCTGGAGGTCAGCTGTGACCAGCAGTGCTGCAGAATTTGAAGAGGCACGAATGGAGGGTGAAAGAGAGAAATGTGCCAAGAGGAAGGCGCATCAAGCCAACCCCGACTGGGACTGCCTTCCACCTAGAAACCAATGCCCTCATTGTGGGAAAAGCAGATCAAGAATAGGGCTCCACAGTCTCCTACGCACCCACCAGAATACTGATCCTGGAAGACTATCCTACTCGGCCAACGAGGGATCGCCTAAGTAAGTAAGTAATCCGGAGCATGGAATTATTCCTTTGCTAGATCCACAGTCTTGGAATCCCACAGCCACCAGAGTTTAGGAAAGTTACTTTCCTTGGGGCTATAGCTCTAAAAATAGTGTTTTGAGGCTCTAGAATGACTATCGGCACCTTCAGGTGGTAAATATGGACTCATAGCACGGCTCCCGATAATCACGGCTCGGGCTCATGAGCCAAGCATGTGTACATGGACACGTCCTTCCTTCCTTCCCCTTCCCTGCCCTTCCTTCCACCTGTCGGTAGAACCCAAGCCAGGTTGTCTCAGTCTGGGGACAGGAAAGACGCACCTTCCATCTTGCCTCCTTCAGCCCTCCTGCAAATGACTCTGCTCCCTCCACCAGGCTTCCAACCCACCCACTCCTTGCAGGGTTAAATATTGACCAATGAGATTCTAAGTCCACAATATTCAGCAGAAAGGTAATGCATGAAGCTTGCTGCTCCTGCCTGGTTAACTCACTAGGGTCAAATGATAACAAGTTAACTCACTAGAGTCAAATAGTAACAGTAATGATGACTAACAACCAGAATAGTACTAGTAGGAATAGTAACAGAATTATTATTATTATTATTATTATTATTATTATTATTATTATTATTATTATTTATACCCCGCTTTATCTAACCAAAAAGAATCCAAAGCAAATAGCATTATGATTATGATTGCTACAGAAACATGGTCTGGAATAATAACAATAACCATATTATTATTACTGTTACTACTACTACTATTAATATATTATTATTATTATTATTATTATTATTATTATTATTATTATTATTA